AGAAATCCTCCATATTTGCTATATTGCATATGGTCATCCTCCCAAGAGATGCTCAGACCTCTGGCTCCCAGTTGCTAATGAGAGGAAGATGGGATGTTTGATTCTCAGCCTGTGCACCAGTAGACTCACAGGGAGGCTCACAGGTTGCTTTCTTGCCCAGTACGCTAAGTTCCAACATGGCCAAATCTTGGGAGACACTGGCTGGTTTGACTTTAACTCACTTTGTAGTCTAGGCTGGCCTTGAACTCTCAGCAGTCCTCCTTTCTTAGCCTCCAGGTGCTAGGACTACAGGCTTGTACCACCATGCCTGGCCTTAATAGCTCATTGTTTGATTTTTTTTTTTTTAATCAGGAATTGAACTCAGGAGGATCTTGCACTTGCCAGGCAGGAGTTGTACCACTGAGCTGTATCCTCAGCCTTTAGAGCTCATTTCTCTAGTAACAAGTAACATTCTATTATTCAGAGGAACCAGAATTTACCCATTCATCAAACAAAAGACATCTTGGTTATTTCCAAATTTTAGCAATTAGGAATAACGTCTCTATAAACTAATTGGTTGTTTTATGGACACAAGTTTTCATTTTATTTGAAGAAGTACCAAGTCATGTGATTGCTGGATTGTATGGTAAGCATATGTTTAGTTTTATAAGAAAATGCCAGAATATTTTCCAAAGTGGTTGTACTGTTTTGTACACTTATCAGCAATGGATAAGAGCCTTTGTCATTCTACATCTTGGCAGCATTTGTTGACAGTTGACAGCATTTGTTGATTTTCCTATCCTGATAGGATGCACTGTGCTTGACATATCAACTTTTATTTGACATCTGTATACCTTTTGTAAAGTTCATGTGTTTTAAATATGTAGTGAGTCCCTCTGAACCTTAGATTCTGCATCTATGGGTTCAATCATATTTTGTTCCATTTTTTGTTTAATTGTTAATGGCAATAGATCACAAGATGCAGGCTGTTTTCCTGTGCTTCTGACCTACAGCTAGGAATTTTCATAACTCCTTTTTTGGGTTTGATTTGCTGGAGTAGCTCATGGAACTCAGGGAAGCATTTCACCTACATTTAGCTGTTTATTAAAAGTTTTGTATTACAAAAGGTATAGACAAAGAGATGCACAGAGCAAGCCATATGGGAAGGGCCATAGAGAGTCCACCCCGTACTGGGTCTGCTACCCTCCAGCAACGTCCATCCATTCAGATATCCAGAAGCTCCTCCAACTCTATGCTTTGGGGATTTCATAAGGACTGCATTCCATAGCCATGATTGGTTAAATCACTGGCCATTGGTGATCAGTTTAGCTTTCAGCTCCCTTAAGTCCCAATCCTCCAACCCTAACGCTCCTTTAAGCCTGTCAGTACTCTGTCAACTCGTTAGCAGGCAGAAAGATTCTTTCTTTGAAAATCCCAAGGATTTTAGGACTTATATGGCAAGAAATAGGAATGAAAAACAAGTAAGTATTTCAAATATGTAAAGGAAACAGATAAAACACTAATCTATTTTTACAGTGGTGTCTGTCCCAAATGATTCAAATAGAAAGCTTTGCTACTTAGGAGATATCTTAATAAAAATGAGTTAATGTCAACCTACTTAAACAGTAAATATTAACTATACCTAAATCTTTTAATTATGACTTTAGTCCTAAGATAATAGTATATCTAACAGTAGAAACAAAAACAAGAACAAAAAGGTCTGGAAGGAACAGTCAAATTAAGAAAAAGCCTTAGAAATTAAATATGCTGTCTTTAAAAATTCTGTAGAAGATAAAGTTGAGAAAATTGTCCAGGAAGGTGGGGCCGGGGGTGGTGGTGGTGGTGGTGGTGGTGGAGAATACTATAAGAAAAAAAAAAAAAAAAAAAAAGAATCTGTATAGATCAATCTGGGATATCCATTATCTAGGTAATAGGTATTCTTAAAAGCAAACTAGTGAAAACACAAGTAATTTTTCAAAGAAACAATAAAAGAAAATTTCCAAGAATTGAAAGCAGAATTTCTGAGGATTTCCATCTTAGCAATGGCCAGCACAGTGAATGAAAAAACAACTTTGTACCAAAGAAAACATGTTATTTCAGAAAGAGTGTGTTGAAAACAAAATCCTAAAAGCTTCTTGGGAAATGCCAAATTTAGCTAAAAGCTGCCCTCATACACTTGAAGTTTAGCTCAAAGGTTTCTCTATATAGAATGAAGTGCAACCAAACTTGATGTGTAAACTATCACGTACTAGTACAGTTGTATTTCAGCCAATCATACGAGGCCAGCTGTTCAAATTATGCACAAATAAAACTGGTCCAAACTGATGCCACTGAGTTAAATCCCCAGCCCATGTATATTTGTTTCTTTTTTCTAGCTATGAGTATAACCAGCCATGTGGTAGGGTAGAACATTCTGGACCATTGGTGGTCTGGACTACTGATTGATTTTTGAATTGCAAATAGAACCAATTAAGATCTGCAAAATCAGATTTATTGTAGATTTGTCTTTTCGCAGAAGAAAAAACATACTACATATACATCATCAGTGTACAAATGGTTTGGTGATACCTTTCAACCTCTCATACTTAAAGTTGAATAAAGGCACTTGCAGGCACGCACGTTCTCAGCATTACTTCTTCCCATCCATCTTTACTTAAAAGAATGTGTGATATTAAAACAAGACAGTGGCCAGAAAAGGGCAAGACTCAGTTTCCAAAAATAAGATAATTCCAAGAAAAACAATTGCTAGATAGAAATGTAAAAGTAACCACAGTTGTTTTGTCTCAGAAGTGAACAATACTTCCATGGTCCTAGTAGTATGATCACTGAATATGTATCTAACAATGGATGGGAAGGGCATAATTTTCATCTACCTTAAGAGGAACTGAAAGATTAATCCCTAACAGTCATGCTTACACCTTGAAACTGATTTAAAGTGTGAAATTAGATATCATGTAACGATATCTAATGATAACATGATAATGATATAAATAATGAATGATATGATAATGAATTTAATGATAACAATCAGTAAGATTGTTTTTTCGAAAAGTGACTTTGACAAGTAAACTAGTAGAATGCGGCAGAAGACTTTTTTTGAATTTATTGTAGTATATCATTTTCATCCTTATAACAAAGGAGATTTTGACACATGGCATAACTTTTACATCATGCTGAGTAAAATAAGCCAAACATAAGATGGGCGGAATAGCTTGTGGACTGGGCTGGGAGCCACTGACCCAGAGATCATGCTTCAGGTTTGGGGTGCACCAATGAGCCCCATAGCTCCAGTGCTACTTTTGACAGCACATTTCTTCACCTGGGAGCCAGCACTGCCAAATAGATTATGTTTTTAAGGTTAATAACCAGAGGGCTTTACAGGTAACTCTCAGAAGGAAAGACTGGGCAGTGACTATCACACAGAAAAAACTATCTGACAAATTATTGGATTCCAGCCCAGAGACTCATTCATTCAAGATAACCAAAACCATTGACTGTGTGATGACCAGAGTGACAGGGACAGAAGGCCGTAGGTACAGAAGGCACACTATCAGGCAGCTAATTGGTCATACAACAATGGCTGTCCAATTCCTATGAAAATGATATGTAAAGAATCACTGCCGTTTCTCAAGGCCACACACAGAACTGGTACAGATGGAGAGCCAGGTTTTAGTACCCGGGGTGATCCTGCCGGCTCCTACTGTGGGTTAAAAACCTTTGTGGCAGGAGTTAAACTGACCCAACCAGTTTCCATGAAAAATGTGAAGAAGAAAATTGAATGAATACTTGAATAGACAGTGGAAGTTGCAATTTGATGTTTGTCTACAGTTCTATTCAGAATTTTTACAGAAGCAGAGATTAATGTTCATCTTCTTGTTTTAGCAGAAAAAATCTAAACATTGCCATTAGTTTACTGAATCCATGAGGCAATTTACCTGGTTTGTTTTGTTTTGTTTTGTTTTTTGTTTTTTGTAGCAACAAACCACTGTTATAGAGGTCTCTGGATTGATAAAGGAATCTCTTCTTCTATCACTGGAGTGGTTAGGACTGTGTATAAATAAAAGCATACTTCTGGGAGGAAATAGTCAAGTTGCTAAATTTGATATTATATATATTTTACCACAATAAAAAGCAACTTAAAAAAACTTAGTGCTATTTGATTTTTAAATAATTATATATGTTTTTATTTTATTATAATATAAAATTAATTTTAGGTTCTGAATGAATGCCAGAAAAACGTACATGTGTCATGAATGTCCATACAGTTTATCACATAAGTTGGGCCACACAGAGGTCTCTTTTGCTTATTTTTTTCCAGTTCTTTTCTGTGTTACCCTTAGGTAAAGGTAATTATTTTCAATTAAGGGAAGTACTATTGGATGTAAGTATACAGTGAATACAGTTCAGAAGAGTTTGAGCTACAAGGTCACTAAATATAGCACATTAACACTGTGAACAGGTTCATCTAGTCTGAATAAGCACCTCATTATGCAGGAATTTTTCTTTTATGGCCTCAGCCACTCTCTGTGGCTTTGGTCTAAATGCTTGGCTGTGCAGTCACCCCTGAATGGTTTATAGGAGTTTATCTCTGCGTGTATGAGGGGACTGGTGGAATTGTCAGTGAACTAAAGCTATAGCAGGAGGTAAGCGCCTGTTGTTAACAGCTGTTCTCTGGCTCAATTTATTTTTGTAATCACTTTCCTTAACTTGTTCCAAATAGTATTTGTTTCCTTATAGTCATAAGCAAACAAGGTCAGTTAATTTGGCAGTAAGAGCTTCAACTAGTAAAGAACAATCCATATTTGAATAATTATCCCCTCAGTTTACAATTGAGAGGCAGCTTTCAGGAGAAAATGACAGTGGAAAACAACTTTATATATCCGTAGAGACTTCCGACTGTTTTCCAGCCTTTAAGTCATGCTGCTTGGCTTTGACAGGTTGCATTTACCTTCAAGGGTTTATTGCTATAAAGGTAGTGTCATATCTTGTCCTTCCATCTAAATTTTCCTCTTTGTTCACAGTACAAGATGAAGACAGAAGCGCGACGAAAAAATGTCCTCGTTTTGATTTTGCATTATTTAACTCAAGAAGGGTATGTTAACTGATAAATATTTGCAGTTGTGAGGCTTCTTCTCTGATCTCCATTTTTTTAAGTGCCCATACCTTCTAAAACAGTTAATAGACTTTTTTTTTTTTACAAAGTTTCATATTTACACAACAATTGTGCAAAAAGTACAAGGAATTTCCTTACACCCTCTGCTTTCCCAAATTTCTCCTGTAATTACTATGATTGTTTTTGTAGTGCTGGGGATCAGCCCAAGGCCTTGTGCATACCAGGCCAGCAGTCTACCACTGAGCTCTACCCTCAAGGCCTCTCTTATTATTAGTATGCTGCACTGATGTAACCGTGTGTTACCCTCAATGAGCCAATAATGATATGTATTAATTCAAGCCCATAGTTTATATTAGGGTTTGCTCTGTGTTCTGCATTCTGAGCTTGGCAAATGTGTAATGGCACGTTATAGTATCCATGCAGACTGCTTTCACTTCCTGATAGTCCTCTGGAATCTACCCACTCATCCTCCTCCTATTCCTACCCAGTAACTCACACACAGACTGTTCGTCTCCTTGATTTACTTATTTTTAACATGATTCACATTTGAGAAATTTATTAACAGATTTACTAAGTATAGAAAATACTTTTCTCTTTTCCCTCTGGTACTTTTTCTTTTCCATTTCTCCTCCTCCTACCTCTCCCTCTCCTCTTCCTCTACTTCTTCCTACCCCTTCTTTTTTCTCATTTTCTTTCTTTTCCATTTCCTCTTTCTTTTCTTTTCATGGTACTAGGAATAGAATTCAGGAGCACTCTACTACTGACCTCCATTCTCCCTCCTAGATAACCAGTTTTAACATTGGGTCTTGGAACAAATTCTGTTCATACTAATTCTCTCTCTCTCTTTCTCTCTTTCTCTCTCTCTCTCTCTCTCTCTCTCTCTCTCTCTCTCTCTCTTCTCTCTTTCTCTCTGAATTGACTATGTTGTAACTCTCTACTTTAAAAAATGTGACTTTCCGTAACATTTTAATGTCTGACTTTTTCTTCCTGGTAAACGTGATGAATTTACTGTATTATTACAGTAAAAAACATTCTTCACTCCCGTGACTTTGAAACAGTTTTATAGACACTTCTCTTTATGCTGTTGGGGATTGTAATTTTTTGAGGAAATGGCTCCTTTTTTCATATCACCTCCAGGTCTAAGACCGGAGCAACAAATGCTGCCCTCACCTGTGAGCAGGCAGCCATCAGTCCGTGCTCAGCTGCTAAGTCTCTCTCGACTCGCAGCAGTGGGGTAGCAGTGAGAGCCAAGCAAAGCAGACCTGACCTGGCCCTCTCGGTGCCTCTGCTTCCCATCTGTAATGTGAGTGTGGTTTGAAGCTGATGGGCCAGGCAGCCTCATGTGTTCAGCTGGTTGCTCTGCAGTTCACCACTCACACAAAGGAAGGAAACTTAGGAGAAAGTGCCAAGTGTCTTCTCTAAGACAGTGACATGGGGTTCGTTGTGTTGAGGAGGCCTTCCTGACATAAACTTAGGAGCCAGACTGTTTCATGTCAAATACCCACCCTAGTCTGCTAACCTGTGACCTTGGACAAATTTCCCTGTGTTTTAGTTTGCTTCTGTGTAAAATGAGTAACGGGTAAGAACTAGGTATCAGGTACTTACTGTTAGGAGAATTCAGTATATGCCAATCTTAGATTAGGGTCTGACACCAAGAAAGCTTACACATATGAGCACTTACTATTTTTGCTGAGGAGGGGATAGGATTTTTTTTTCTGGCACTGATCACTGAACCCAGGGCCTTCACACTGAGCTGGTGTCCCTATCTTTTTTTGTTGTTGCTAGATGACATCTTGCTAAATCACTATGTCCCCTAGGCTGAGTTCCTTTGCAATCCCCTTACCTCAGCCTCCCTGAGGGCTGGGATTACAGGCATGCACTACCACACCGACTTGGAATTTATTATTTTAAAGACTAGTTTTCCATGGAATGCTGTCAGAATGCTGCCTTCACAGATTAGTTGAATTATATAGAACTTGGATTCAGCATCCTAGGCCCTGGCACTGTGAATACAGTATTGACAGATACTCAATCAGCAGGAATGTAAATGGGTAATTAGAAAGTGAGACAAAGCTGTTTACACAGACATTTCTTGGTTTTTATTATAATGTCCCAGAAACAGCATCAGAAAGAACTTTAACGACAAAAAATACCAAAGTTGTTCTGAGTACTGGCAGAATTTACTGCGAATCACTAACGAAGCATGCGTTTCCCCTTTTTGCCACTAGATGGCCCTGGCATCTCATATCAATGAAAATTCTGCTAGAGTAGGTCATTTTGCTGAAACCCGCTGGGAAAGACGGTTAGAGTGGATTGCCAAAATCAAAAGTGAAGTATAGGTATTGTTAAAGACATGTAAGTTTCAAAAAAGAGGCCTATCTCTAACGAACGATTCCCTGCTAAAAATTCAGCAAAGAGGACAGATTATTGTGGACCGTGATAGCCAATCAGTAAAAGCTTTGTAACAGTGGTTAAGAGAACAGGGTTTGAAAGATGTGTAGAATACAGACGGGCAGGTGTAACGGGCAGAGGTGTGGAGGAAGAAGGAGCATGACATATGTCAAATGGTTAAGTAAACAGAAAGATCAGTGTTTGACATGAATTGTGAGGAAGAATCTGTGAGGGCGGACAGTGGAGAGTCATGGATTCCGTTTGTAAAGTCCTACGTAGCCGACCTTTCTGGCCTGAGAGGTATAATCCCATCTGTGTTTTGTTCATTCATGTTCTCTACTGCCCACTATTGCATAGTACTTTTTCTAAAGTACTGTTCTGTTACTATTGGTTAAAAACCAGGGACAATTTCATAGCAGACCTCATTTAAGCTCAAGCAATATAATAGAAACAATCAATTTTTTTTTATTTTAGTGCTGGAGATTGTGCCTAGTATCTTTGCACTGAGATAGATGCTCAGCCCTTTTTTATTTCATATTTTTAAACACAGTCTCGCTAAGTCCCTGAGTTGCTGGGGCCCTGCTTTGATGAGCTTGTGATTCTCCTCCTTCAGGCTTCCTAAGTGCTGGAATTATGGGCGTGTGCCACCTTGCCCAGGTTGCACACTTTTTTAGGACAAAGTTTTTAGCTTAAAAAATAAGTTCAAAATGAAAAAATAAGTCCTGGCAAGTCTTTCTAGATTCAGAACATTTTGAAACAAGGCTCTTGCTTCTAACACTAAGACCACTTACACTGGACAGCCATACCATGGAACAACTTAAAAATGACAGGAATAACAAAAGTCATGATACTACTTACAGAAGGTCCTTTAGTGTAAAGTGTGACTACAATTTTATGAGATATAATACATCCAAGACTTATAGCAAATTTTCTTGACGATATTCATAGACATCCTTGGAATGTCTCTCTAAAAATCCTTAACCTTTAGAGTTGAATTCAGATTTTATCAATTGTCAAATATTACCCCAAATGACAACCGATGAATAAAGAGGTAGTCAGGTTAGTATTCATCTTTGGCTAATCATAAATAAAGGTAAGGCTATAAGGTGTTTTCTTTGTTGATTTACTTATTTGACTTTACATTGTTTTAAACAATGGTGACATCACTAAAATAAGTATATAGCTTCCAGAGGTGACTGCTTTGAAAAACTATTTGGATATATGTATAATATATGAAATATTTTTTACTTTGCATAAAAATCTCATGTATAGTAGTTTTCACTCAATGCACTATTTAATATAGGCTTTCTTTTTGTATTGAATGTCTTTGGACTTGTTAAGACTGTTTGCCTTTGTTCTTTATACCCAGAGTTAAATTTTTTTTCTTCTATAAATTGCCAGATACATTGATACAGCCCATACATTGGAGCAAGAAACTCAACTGGGTTTACAGCGCTTTGAAGTTTGTGACAACGTTGACCTTGAAACCATTTTGATGGAATATGAGAGCTACTATTTTATAAAATTCCAGAAATATCCCAAAATTGTTAAAAAGACATCAGATACAGGTATATTGTTCTCAAAAATAATGTTTTATCCCATCACTAGGAATGGTCTCATCTACTGCCCTCACCTCACACAGTAGACCAGAACACGTATCCTTTTGTAGACCCAGTGCAGAAACTTTAAACACGATCGCCAGCATATTGATGACCCTTTAGTCACGTTGGTGCTTCCTTGAGAAATGTATGCTTGAGAGGGGTGAAAGTAAAGCCCCAGTGTATTAACCGATACTCTTCAGAAGATGAGCATTAATTTCTTAAGAGATGAAGGCTTTGCAAGAGGATAAATGACAAAAGATCTTTTTCTTGTTAGGAAGACCTATTGTCTATCTTGAAAATAACATGAAAATGAGTATTGGTGGAGCGATTAGCTCATGTATAGATAATGAAATGCTTTTGAAGCCATCAATCCAGATCATGATCAATATGATGCAAAATCCCAGTAAGGGTTAGCAGTCAAGGAAGCTGACTAGATGGAAGATCTAAAGCCAGGGCCTTAGGTTATGTAGTAACATTGACTTAGAAGTCTGTAAATGGGGGAAGTAATTATAAACCAAGGGAGATTATTGTCCTGTCTATAAGGCACTTGTTAAGCCACAGACTTTAACATTTCATGTAGGGACCAGGAAACCAAGAGGAACATCAATTAAAAATAGCCAGGGCTCAATTGCAGAGTTGGAAGGGATCTAAGAGATGTTTTATCTGAGCTTCTTTCCAATGCAGGGTTCGGAAATTGCTTCCTTGGCTAGTTGCTAGATGCAGGCCTTGAGAAAGCATTGACCAGGTCTATATGCACTGACCCCATAAGTTTCGGTTACTGACCCGGATCTGATTTCCGGATGGCTCACTTCAATTGGTACTCACATTTTCCTGTGATACCAGACACAAAATGTCTTTATTTTAGGGTAAACTGGCTGGCTATGACTCATTAGTGTTCCCTGCCGTACATAATCATTGAAGGAGGAAACCCCAGGAAAGTGATGTCAAATTCACGAAAACTCAATAAAATAGCGGCTGTGAAGCCAAATCCTATTGGAAATGCTGCCATGTGCATAGTCTCCAGCCTGTTTACTGAGGTCTGGAGTCTTTCTCTGAATAGAGAGGATTGGGAAGATTGGGTCTCTTTCTTTTCTCTGGGAATTTCATTTCTCTTTAGATCATGATATATAAGCTCTACTTCAAACAGCTATAGCACTAATTTTAAGAACAAAGGGGAAAACTACCTGAAAAATTACTTTGTTTCTCTTAAAATTAAATTCTTTGCTTTCTTCCCAAAGTCACAGCAGAAAATAACTTACTGCCAAGAAGTGGAGGGAAGACCAAAAGGTAAAGTGAATGGTAATTCATCTTGGTCAACTCAACTCTAAGAATTTGTGGGGTTCTTTCCCACAGGATTCTTCTGTGCACTTCCATGACTATCTGCCAGCAATACCACCTGTGGTCTTGCTACCTTGGTGGGGCCAGCCATGGTGTCCCCTCAGAGTATAGATAGCCATGTAGGACTTGGGTCATTGTCACTTCTCCCTGTTTACAGAAAGCAACTGCAACCAGTGATGTACTGTCTTTCTGGGCCGCAAGGCATGAAAAGTTTGAACCTCAGAAGTTAATAGACCACAGCCCAGTCCCTGGCCCCACTCTTATAAGCATATTTTCTGGTATATAGTGAGTTCCTGGCACATGGTGAGCATACAGTAAATTTTGTTTATTTATTTGTTTTTGTGGTACTGGGGATTGAACCTAGGGCTCTTACACTTTTTAAATTTTTTATTATTATTTTGAGATGTACTTAGATGCCCAAGTTGAGCTCAAACTTTTGATCTTCCTTTCATAGCTTGTAGAGTGCTGAGATGTTTTCCCTTTTAAAACAGTATCTGTCGTTCTTTGTGCACTATGTGAAAACAACCAGAAATCCAGGAGTTCAAGGGCATGGTTCTGTTTCTACTGTGCTGGTCTGCATGGACCTGTCCTTTCCTGCCTTTCCTTTGGTTTTCCCTAGCCTCTTGCTACTTGGCCTGTTTCAGACTTGAGGTACCTAATGGGAGCCCCCTATGTTTCTTCAATCTTCTGGGTAGGTGCATTCTCCCACAAGGCCCCCCTCCCCCACCCCTCGCCATTCCTCATTACCACTCCCAACACAGAAACCCTTGCTGTTATTGCTGTTAAGAAATGCCCAGGGGCTCTTTCTGAGAATGGCCAGCTTTGAAGCTATACAAACTGTGGATTCAGGCTGTCATAAAAAACGCCTAAATCTCAGGAGTTTTTGTAGGAGACAATAGACACTCAGGCAGGGAATAGAGGTTTTTTTTTTAAGCTCTTGGAATATGGCTGAGAAAAGAAAACTTAGATTGAGATCACAAGCAACTTACCATGCTTCAAGAGGTGTGACTTCTGTGTGCCTACCCAGTCACCAGTTGCTGCCAATCCAGTTCCCCATCTCCATCCTGAGAAGGAAGGGAGCAGGATGTGTGCACACAGCTCACAGGGATGGCATTCTTCAGGAGAGTGCTCATGGTGGCTCTCTGCCTAAGGCTGCCATGACTTTAGTTATTCTTTAAGAATGGTTTTTGTCATTTGAACAAAAGTATTATTCCGTTATTTATAGTTTCCATAAAGCTAGTCAGACTCTAGAAATAAATGATAACTACTTGTGAATAGAAACAGTGAGAAGTATTTTATCAGGTCAGCTTTAGACTCTTCTTGGATTCTGATTATTTGCAGGCGCACATCCATGCCTGGAATGTCCTCCGTGTTCTTTGGCAGACATGCTGTGAGCCAGTGCTGTTGGAGAGTGTGGTTCCCCTTTGGGATGGATCACAGTGGCTTAGGTGACAGCTGCACTCTGAGTAGATTTCTGTACCTGGCAAGCCATAAAGGTTGGACAGCAAATGGCTAGAGTCAGGAAGGATAATTAGGAAAGCAGTGAACAGTGTTTTGTGCACAATTTTATCCTCAAAGATTCTTGAATGAGAGGTTGTATCATGAGACTTGTTGTTGGCTAATCAAATTGTCTTAATCTTGCATCATACAAGAGAATGTATTTCCAGTTTGCCGATGGGCTGGTGACACAAGGGAGAAAAGGTATCTAATACGATAGATGACAGAATTGTAATCACGGAAAGTCTTGACAATTTGGGGATGGGCTCAAAGTAACAGGATGAAATTAATGGAATAATGTTTAGGCCCTGTCAAAAGATTTTCAACAAATAGTTCCCCCAGTACAAAACAGAAACCTAGAATTTTAACTGCAGATGAGAGCACTTGAGTCAATATCACCTGAATGTGGTTGGTTGCTGATGAGGCCTCAGGTCTTATCAACAGAAATACTCTACTCAAAAAGTAGGAGGTCAGTCTATGCAGATCTGAAGACAGGAGACAAACAGAAGGTGACCAGGATAGGAGCAATCTGGGAACTACATAACTTTAGGAATGGCTGGACCAACCTGGGAGTGTTTAACTGGAACAATGGACATTCATCACTCATGTCCTTAGAACAGTATAGTAGCTACCTTCACTCTTTAAAGGGGAATTGGGTCTTCTCAGGAAATCTCCCCTGGGTGCACCTAGCCCCAGGAGCTGGATGTAAAGTTGGGGGAATTTGGTTTCATATTTGGAAGAATTTTATAATTGTTAGAGCTGATGGAAAATAAATTGCCTTGCTTTGGACATTAGTCCTTTTGTCTTTGCTAGTGTTAATGCAAATGTTTTGGATCAGGTGCATCCAATGTGAAATCACAGTGGAAAGATGGAGTTCTCATTCCCTTCCAGTCCCATAAATATATTGAGTAAGGATATTGAGACAAACATATATATATATATAATATATATTTCTATTATGTTATATATAAATATATTCCTATTATATAAAATATATGCATTCCTATTATATATAAAATGCATGCATTCCTATTACTAAGGGTTTGCTTTTCCAAAATTCTTGGTGTTCACTTCATAGTTATTTCTTTTTTGTGACAGCAAGAGGTCCAAAAGACTGATATTCTTAATCCTACCTTAGAGATGAAAAAGACACCCTGAGGATGGTTAGGGTTCATCACTCATGATGCTTGCTGAGTGGGTTCAACATTGGGATCATTATGGTTGCACATTTATAGTACTGTTGATGTGTGTGATCCTGCTGGTCAAACAGTATGTTCATGTTAGAGATAAACAACTTTTTCTTTCCTGTGAAGAAATGGAGTTAAGGAACTCGCTCTCTGAAGTCACTTAGAACATCGATGAAATCCTTCTAGCAAACCTCCTGCAGATGCCTGAAACATGGAAAGACAAAAGAACGAATGTCCTAAGCATAGAAAACAACTTACAACATGGAAAGAGTCCTTTTATTTTTGTCCTCCACGTAGGTTTTTTTCTCACTCTGGATGGCATCTTCTGCTGAACAGTAGAGATATTTTAAGACCAGATTTGATGTCTTAATATGAGTAAATAGTGAACAGATCTATTTCACCCTTATATAATATGTATAGAAAATCAAGTACAGTGCTCTGTAACCACCACCATGTGCAGTCTTCCCCCAGGCTTCCTTGATCCCTCCCCAGTCAATGCTCCCTCTTCCCCAGAGTTAGTGCTCTGATTTCCACTTCCATCAGTTTGTTTTGCTCCAAGTGAACAGTATTTGATGGGAAGTTGTTTGGCCCCTATGAATGATCTGTGATGACAGACATGGGTAAATTTTGCTTTCCTTCCACAAGTCCTCTTTGATGTTTACTGCCCACCCAGGTTGAGAAGTATTTCCACTAGGCAAGGTATACCCAGTTTACTGGATTGAAACCATGGACAAATCCTTAATATTTCTTAAATATTTTTTGAACTGAGAATTGAACTTGGGACTCTGTGCTTGCAAGTCAGACACTTGTGCTGCTGAGCTATACCCCTGGTCCAATATTTTTTTTTTTTTTATTGGTTCCAGAGATTGAACTCACGACCACGCACTTGCAAGGCAGGAGCTTATGCTGCTCAGCTAAATCCCCAGCCCTGGTCCAATATTTCTTAATTTGAATAGAATGGCTCCATCTGCCCCACTTCTCATAGTTTTCATGGTCTGATGTTCTTAAGGAGTGTAGGGAAAAACAGTGAAAGGATTTTTGGAAAACAGTGCATCCTAGAGCACTGAAGCCATCTGCCAAAGGGCTGAAGCTGTGCAGTGTAAAGGAGAAATGAGGAAAGCGACGCAGTTTCCAGGAGGAGGTGAGTCCTCTAGCCTGGTTTTAGAGGAGCCCAGTGAGTAGCCATGAGAGAGGCAGGACTAGGATGGATGAAGATGGCATATGAGAGCCCTACTGTGGTACATCTGCATAGCTCTGAAGAATGTTCTTTACATATTTCAAATGTGCTATATTAGTTGTTTACTTAAAATTAAGTACTTAGAATAATTTTTTATAAGGTTTTTGTTCCCTTCTTTAGAATGATGGATGACAATTGTCAAAATCTCCCCAAGATCAATCACCAGAGGCCAAGATCCAAAGCCCCAGCAGGGAAGACAAGGGACACCAAATCTCTAAATAAGGAGCATCCTAAACAGGTCAGAATGGCTTTGTTAATATTACACTTGACCTAGAAATAAATTAAGGAAAAGGTCACATTTGTTTGTTTTAAAAATTTCTGCATGATTTAGTTCAACTGTGGAATTCTTTGAAGAGTTGTAGAACTTTTAGTATGCTAGATTTCTCCTGGGCTGAGTGCAGGACAGTGGCCTCAGGCAGTGGGGTCTGGCTGCAGCAGATCTTATACCTACCTCTAAGTTGAGGTCACTTCAGGTGTCAGGTCTTCCTGTCACAAAACATCCCTGGGCTTGCTCAGTGCAGGCTGGAAGAGAATCTGGTGCCACTGGGTCTCAGCTGTCTCCTGCTGGGCTTCTCCACAGCACACATTGTTGGTCTTCACTTCTCTCTGCATTGCACTTTTTAGAAAGAGAGGGCAGTGAGAGAGTTCATTAGGCAGATGGGTGAAATTCCAGCGAGAGATGCATATCAAAGATCTTATCAGGGACAAAATGTTTTAGGCCTCAAAGGAAAGAGAGTCAAGGAAAACAGAAAAAAAGAGTAGCAAGAGTTAATGTCAAAGATTCTTGGCCACATGGGAAGGAATGATCATGAAACTCAGTTCTTCAATATAATTCCTCACCTTCGAGGTAGATGAGTTCCCAGGAGACTGGCTGACTTTGCTGATCCTTCTGATTTGGCCAACTCTGGCTACACGAGGAAGGACAAGCCAGCAAGTGGGATAGGTCGAGGCACAACCCTTTGCTCCAATATACAGCTCCTCCATCGTGGCACAGATAGTTTATTCATCTTATCGGATCTGTACAAAACTGGCCAGATAACATGCAGGGTTCCCCATATACAGAACTGCAAGCCAGCATGTAGAGAATGGGGGAATAGGCAGGTGCAACCAGCATCTCAGTTGTTTCCACAGCTGGCTTCTCACTGTTTTCCTCTTTCTTCAGGAGAGTGTCAATAATGCTCATGTGGAGAATGCTGACTTTGGTTTAAATATATCAAGAATTCACAGAGACAGTGGAGAGGAAAATGCCATCCCACGACGAGTAAGTGGCACTCAGGATCCTAACACCGGAAAAAGAATTCTTTTTATAAATACAAAGGTTGGCTGGGAGGTAAACTGGGATGAGCAATGGGTGATAATCAGAAAGTGAGTTCTGATCTGGCATGTTTTTTCTGGAAGAATGGTCTGAAATGGGCAGCCCTATTTCTAAGAAGGTTAGTGTCCCTTATTTGTAGTTTAAATAGTTGGACGTGATGGCTTTAACTGTTCATTTCAGCTCAAATGGTGTATGATTAGCATAATAAACTTTGGCTGGCAGGGAGCATTAGGTAATGAGCTGTAGGCTCATATTCACTCCTTTCAGCCTTATCAGGAGTAAAGGATGATTAGTGTCCCTCTTCTCTTTTGGAGGTGTGGCTCCAGGTTTAAGTATGATCCCATGGTGCCTCAGGTGATCTAGGGCTGACTCTGTCCTTGGTAGATATTTTTACCCTTTTCATAATGAGTCTCATGTCTGGATTTGTAAATAGTAGTTTCTCCAAGAGAGAAGACACAGACTAGATGACTATGGCAGGTAGCTAAAGCAAGTCCTTTAGAAACTGAAAAGCCTAATGTTCCAGGGGCTGGGGATTTAGCTCAGCAGCATAAAGTGCCTGCCTGGCAAGCGTGAGATTGTGAGTTCAATCCCTGGTACCAGGGAGGAAAAAAAAAAGCTTATAATGTTCCTTTCAAGTGTAGCCTCCAAGATTGTCATTCTTTAAATCCTCTCTCTTTTTTCAAATGAAGTTCATAGACTATGCCCTACTGATTTAGTTCTGGCCAGTTTTTCAGGTAAACTGAGCTCTGGGTGAGTTGGAGCTTGTGTATGTTAACCAGGGGAGCTGCCTCGCTGACTTGTGGTGACTTCCTTTAAGGGCCTCAGTTAACTGGGTAAATGATGCCTCTCCCATCAGTGTCTCCCATGGAGAAATGCTTCATTGTTCACCTTCACTGCTTTGGTCATGTTTTCAGTCACTTTTGTGCCTTGAAATTTCGTGGCTTTAGTTTCTCTTGTGAATGCTTCACATTGATACAAATGGGTGTTTCTGATTGGGTCATGAGGAAACGACTATTTAACCCAGCACTTAACCTTTGAAATCGGCTGACTATAAATTCTTCCAGCAGAAACGCCCTTAGGATAAAATATAGATGGTTTTCTTCCTAGCATTTCAAATATGCGTAGGTTGAATAAGAATATACCACTAGGGGCTGATCCTCAAGGTGGGTCTAACCTGGCCATGTTAAGGCTGCTCGCTTTGTGTTTCCCACACCTCTCTGCACATTTCCTTGGTGTGTTAAGGGCATGGGATTGTGAGTCTGTCCACTTGGGCTCTCCTGCAGACAGACTTTGGGCAAAGTGTTTATAATCTCTCTGAGCTTCACTTCTCTCATCTGTAAAATGGAGCTCAGTAGAGTGCCCATCGTAATGAAAGAAGAGCCACACCTCATACACGTTTGCAGTGATTCCTGTAAACATGTTTTTGCCTGCATTCATGTGTTCCCCCCCCACACACACACTTCTAGGAAAAAGAGTGTGGCATTGAGAGAACTGGGTTTGAATCCTGGCCTTACATCTCTTACTAGCTGCGTAGTCCCGGCAGATTACTTAACTCCTCGGACCTTGCCTCCAGAAACACAAAAACTAGGGTGTCACTCCTCACTAGAAGAGGTGTCATAAGAATTAAAAGCAATCTTCACAGAGTGCCTTGCACACCTGTTTTCTTTAAAGCAATCAAGTGATGCGTGGTCAACAAACAGGACCCATCTCTACTCTTGCACACATAATGTCTTAAAAAGATGAGACCAGACAGGAGCAGTAATCATATAAGAAAGTTGGTAATGTGTCAGGAACTGAAAGTATTCATGAATTTCTACTCAAATAAACTGAAGAATTATTTAGTTTCTTAGAGTAGCCCAATTTGAAGACATCATTTTGGACAGTATTTGTATAGGTTCTTTTTATAACTTAACTTGAAATTTGCCCTGGTACCCTTCAGGTATGTCTGGATAAGCGTAACTTGATTTACTGAGGCCAGGTTTCTAAGGACAGTCTTGTTGTATGTGTTAAACGGCAGTGGTACTTTTTATTTCTTTTTAGGGCCAAATCACTGACTTTGGAGGGCTGCTCACAGATGCTGTCAAAGGAACAACCAGTGAATTTGCCTTGAACACCTTTGACTGTAACCCAGATCCCTCTGTAAGTAGCTCAGATGTGCTGTCTGGCTTTTAAACTGTCAAAAGTCCAAATGAACTTTAAAAATATCACTTGGAATATAGTCAAAGCTTAAGATCAAGTCAAAGGTCAAAGCAACTTGTCACCATTTATTTCACTAAGATCCTGTTTTTTCTTTTATATTATGAACCAATATGGTAATGCAAGCCTCTCTTTTCCTCTCATCAGGAACGATTGCTGAAACCTCTGAGTGCATTTATTGGCATAAACAGTGAGATGCGAGAATTGGCAGCAGTGGTGAGCCGGGTAAGATCTACTATTCAATTCACAAATTTACTGAGGCAGATTGGTGCTCCTGGAGCATTGTGGGCTGCTTCTTTTATTAATAACAATAAATATGATCATTTATTTATAAAGTGCCCCCACTTGCGAAGGCACTCATATTGTTTAGAGGCATAATAATGCATGATAAATAAATTATAGAATCATAAAATTACAATATAAAAAGCCCACCATCTCACTATAGAGGCCAAGAAAACTGAGAGAGAAAAAGACGTAGAAAAGAAAGGACAGGTGAAAAGTCGGATAGCAAGGCCCAGAGTCAAGGAAAGAAGCCTCTTAGACACACAAAGAATGTGCCTGCTTCTTGTTAATAAAAAAAATAATAATAATAAAGAAAGAAAGAAAGACTAAAAAGAGGTCAGAGTCTAATGATCTCATAATCAGAAATTTCTATGGAAAAACAAGAGTATTAGGAAAGATTCTACCACCCACGCTGCAGATTTTTCAAGCTTGGGTCCTGGAATCTAAAGCAGTGGAGCCTAACGGCTGATGACACAGGCTTTGGAATGAGCTGACTTGTATTTGATTTCTATATCCCTTTTTTTTTTTTTCTAGCTGTGTGAGGTTGGTCAAATTTCTTAGGATCAGATTCCTGAACTAAAGCCTATTTTTCTAATTTCTACTGATCTCATATTTGAGGACTGATCTCATATTTGAGGTCAAGATCAGGAGGATGCTTAAAATGACCCAAAAATGCACTGACTGTAGATCCAAGGAAGTATGTGCCCTGGCTTCTCTATCCAGTTTGGCAGCTGCGCACTGCCCATCCAAGCTGGACCAGGCACATGCAAAGGTCTGAGAACAAAAAGGGGGACAGAGCAGGTGTAGTGTTTTTTTTTTTTTTAATTTTATTTAAGGAGAAAAAGGAAAAAAAAAACCAGAAAAAGGGTACAAGTTATACAGAATTTCAGAAAGAATAAACAGTAAGAAATCACTAGTTAATAGATTACATATTGTTATCTTAGAAATAGTTGTTCAAGTTACAAAATTAAAGCAAATAAAGTGGACCTTCAAACAGTGAGACTGCAAACAGTTCTGTTTAATGATCCGACAAAACTCAGTAATATGGTTATCTATCTTATACACTTAAATATATATGCAGTTATATCCTTCAGAGCACTTTCTTTTCCTTTTTTTGTTTTTTTGGTCTTTTTTTGGTTTTTATCGGACTGGGGATCGAACTCACGACCACCTGCTTGCAAGGCAGGTGCTTATGCCGCTGAGCTAAATCCCCAGCCCCCTTTTCCTTTCTTTTGTACAATGACAATTACACATTTTGGGTTTTATTACTCCCACAGTTCTTATTACTTTTTTTTGAAGAGAGTAAAACCAAATGTGACATAACAGAACAGAGTCGGTCAAATCAAAAGGGTGAACATAATAGATAATGTAATCTTTGCCTGCAAGAATTTCTAGTTGTCTGGACAAATGGATTTTGAGAGCATGAAGGAAGGGTATTTTTCACCAAAGGTGACTAAAGTGTTAGGAGAGAACATACATTAGAAAGAGCTCCATAAGAAAGCGTGAGAGATACTGGGAGCCGAGGCACACACGCAGTGAAATTGTGTGGTTTGCGCACACTTCTGGTGAGCCAAGCAAGAGGCAGAGAGTGGTGGGTGGGTTATAGGACTGGGTAGAGGCAATGTTCCTGAAGAAGGGCACCCGGACAGTACTTAGGACTGGGCATTGGCTTCTAGAGGTGAGGTATTTGTATTTATTTATTTATTTGTACTGGGGATCAAACTCATAACCTTGTACTTGCCAAGCAGGTGCTTATGCTGCTGAGCTGAATCCTTGGCTAGGTGAGGTACTTTTGAATAGTGTTCCTCAGAGAGTGAGGTCATCCAAGTGCTTGTAGATAGGTCATCATTCTCATGATAGTGAAGTGGATGGATGGCAGAGCAAGGGAGAAGGGGAGGCCAGTGCAATGAGTTGTTTACCTGTGAGAGGGGATGGATGATTGTACTTGGCTGAGATGTAAAAGAGAGACAAGCAAAATCTTTTTTATGTCAACCAAAATTAGCAGTCTCATTGCCATTTTTGCAAAAGAATAATGTGACTAAATATACGACCACAGAATGTAAGTGACCTGAAAAGATTGTTTTAAAAAAAATTTTATTTAAAAGAAAAAAAATTTTCTTTTATTTAAAAGAAAAATTTAAAAGCAAAACAAAAAAGGTGGCAACAATACAAAATTTAAAAAAACACTAAGAAATCACTAGTTGATAAATTACATACTGTCATCTTACGAAAAGATTCTTATGGGATCTTCTCCACAATATCATGGGAGATAGTCAGTCATTCAGCCCCCGCTTGAATGCTTCTAATGTTGAAGAGGTCACCACTCATGAGGCAGTCTTGTGGTGTTCTGACTGGTAACTGTGGACTGATAAGGAGGCACATTGGACTGAGAAATTAAACATTATCTTGGGGAACTCAGTGTCAATTATAAAATACAATTATCTATGGATGATTTGAGTACTAAGGTAGATGAATCCTCATTATGGGCCAAAATTTCTTCCAGAAAAAGCATAATAAGAATACAAATGGCTGGTGGATTTGCATGAAGACTTAGATCAGGGGGGCTCTCTCAAGATTTTGGAAGACTGAGTCCTTTTCTGGCATCCTGTTCAACAATGGATGATGCATGTTGTGGATTACTCAAATCACTTCTATAAATAGTCTCCTCCATAAAAGTGGAACTCCTGTGGTAGAGGCACTGGGCAGAGGGCAGACAGGAGTAGGATACTGTAACATCTTTGTCACTGGCTTTTAAAAAATGTATTTTGATACTTTTGGAACATGCATGTATATTAGCTTTAAAATTAAATAAATACTTAGCTTCTAGATTTGTTCTGTATCAGAGTAACTTTGAAAAAGGGCTTTTAAAAGTTTATTTATTTATTTATTTATTTTTTGATGTAACACCATAGGCATTGTTTGCCTGAAATAGGCCCCTGAGTGACTGTTCTGAGGCTTGTGAAATTGAAGCTTGGAAAGTGTAAATTAGTTATCAGTAAAAGCTGCCTTAATTGATTACCCTAGATGGTTGCTACAGGGCTTTGTGATAAGAGGGAAAACCGCACTTCTGTTCAGTTGTTGGCTTTCTTGAATCTTGCAGAAGCAATTGCTCCTGCTGGAAGCAGGGAGTGATCGCTGGGGAAAAGAGAGAAATTGGTTTCAGAGGAGCATTATCTCTTTTACACAACAAATTAAGAAAGTGTTTGCCAGTTCAAAGAGCAAAAGAAAAGCCAGACGCCAGCAAGGAACTGTGTCTCATAATAAAAACTAATGTAATCTGAAAGCATATACTGCAGCTTCTCTGATTGTGGCTATAAATCAGCGTGGTTTGTTATTGACTGAAGACAGGTAAAGTTCATTGTTAGGCGATTTTTCCTCTCCTTCTAAAAATACCATATTGCGTCACCAATCTCTTCTTTGGAGAAATCATTGAATATTTTCATGGCATCCATTTGATGAGCTCAAAACATCATCTATCCATATGCATATATCTAATATGAAAAGTTTTTATTATCAGCACTTTATGTCCAATTGTAAGTCAAGTATTCTACTGTTCTTGTGTTTGTTACAGCTGTGGAGGAAAACATTAGTTTTAACAAAATGATCAAATGTGCATTGCAGGACATTTATCTCCATAATCCAAACATAAAATGGGATGACATTATTGGACTGGATGCAGCCAAGCAGTTAGTCAAAGAAGCAGTTGTATATCCTATCAGGGTAAGGATGGGAAGCCCCTCGGGGGTTATTTCTATTCATTATCCACTGGATAAGCTGTGTAACACATACGCGTCAGAAAGGGAAGGACAACATGACTTTCTGTCCACAAGTTAACTTTTCATCCGCATCATTTGTTAAGACCAGAGTATCAAGTCTAGTTCATTCTGGACAATTTAAAATCATGTTTCATATTGGTGCAACACAGGTCTCTGCTCATTGTGATAATTTAAGATCTAAAACTCTGTTGCATAAATTTGATTTATCTGCTAGTATACATTGGTTCAAATCAGCCTCCTTCCTAAAAAATGTACTTACTGTAGTGGAAATACCTCCTGTAGGAGGGGACCTTTCACTCTGTTTCTGTAGACCCGCCCTCGCCCCATTCCTGAACTCTAGGCTGGTTGTGAAGAATACACAGCCTTCCAGGCCGTGGCCAGTGGGCCAGCATGCTGCACTCATTACTTATTCTTAACACATTTCTGCACGGCTCAAATACTAGGCATAAAAACAATACTTTCCATCTTTGGTTTATGAATGGGGTGATGAGAAGCTCAGTGTATATCACATAGTTTTTGCTATATAACCCTACAGCTTTAGAACAACACTTTCTTCATTTGCCATCCTGTGGGTAGGCAATTTGGGATGGATTCAGCTGGGCTGGCTCATCTCTTTTCCAATGGTGTTATTGGTCTACATGGGGCATCAGCCAGAGTGGCAGGGAGAGTTTGGAAAGTTTGGGACAGCTAAGGTCTTTCTCTACTGGGCTTCTCATCTAGCAGGCAAGTCCAGATCTGTTCATACAGGGTTCCTGCAAAGAGCAGAAATGGTATGATCTGATTCATAAGCATTCTCTCTCTCTCTCTCTCTCTCTCTCTCTCTCTCTCTCTGTATTTCTCTGTCTCTCTGTCTGTCTTTCTCTGTGTATGTGTGTGTGTGTGCATGGAACCTTCATTTCTCCATAACCTTTATTTCTCCATGAACTCTAATCTGTCTAGTTTCTAGACTGCCATACTAGGGATTAAACCCCAGCCTTCACACTGAGTTAAATCTCCAGCCCTTTAATTTTTTTTTTTTTTTATCTTGAGGAAGGGTCTTGGTCATTGCTAAAGGACACTTAGCACCTTACTGTGGACCTGTTTTAAGAGAAAAAAAGGCTCAGGGAGAGTGCCCTGTTGCACCCCCATATGCACCCCCCAAAACGTTGCTCTTTTAATAACTCAGACATGAAGTCAGGCATTTGTATCCAGTGTAACTGTATAATTAATACAGATAAAATATATGCAGAAAAGCAGAGCTTGGACTAAAAAGGAAGTACTGAGTTATAGACCTCGACTGTGTGGTTTATTCTAGCATTACTAGCTTGCTGTGCTATGGGCATACTGTCTGATACACTGATACCAAAGCTCATCATTGTTCTTTGTTTCTATAGTATCCACAGCTCTTTACAGGAATTCTTTCCCCCTGGAAAGGTCTCCTGCTTTATGGCCCTCCAGGTAAATGCTACTTTTCTATTTTGGAGTGTAGTAAGTGTGCATGAACAGAGGACGAGAGGCCCCTTCTGATCTTACCCGAGGCGGTCATGAGTTCGATCCCCAGTACCGATAAAAATGAAAAAAAAAAAAAAGGCATCTGAACAATCACTCCCTCCGCCTAGTGTGAGATTGCTGTATGTAGGAAGAGAATGGAATGGAGTTTAAGTGCTTTTCATATTTGTCCTGCATATCTAGGTACAGGAAAGACTTTACTGGCCAAAGCTGTGGCCACTGAGTGCAAAACAACCTTCTTTAACATTTCTGCATCCACCATTGTCAGCAAATGGAGAGGGGATTCAGAAAAACTTGTTCGGGTAGGAAATCTTAATTTTTATTTTTTAAAAAAGTACTTTCTAGCAGAATACACTGGTACAAAATTATGTTAGCACTTACTTGTTTGGGAATGATATATATGTTTGACTTTACAGTGGATCTTGATTACCAAAAACCTGGAAAATGGATTGACTACTGTTTGTAGATATTAATCATGCTCCCATCAGCAAACCACGATCTCTTTTCTTTTGGAATTTTACCAACAGCTCTTTTCCGATTCATGCAATGTAGAAATGGAAGCCAGGAGAAAAATATGTCTCTGAAGTAGCCTATTTTTTTCTTCAGTCAAGATTCATTAATTATTAAAAGTGTGCATTATATTAGGTTAACTTTTACTGAGAGTCTACTATAGAATGACAGTCCCTATACGAAGTACTTTAAGGAAAAATTGAGAGACATAGAATTTAATTATTCTTTCAGCTGTTCTGAGCAATTATTTTTCTCCATAGTACTCATAGTCTGTAGAGTTTTTAACCTTCCCTGAAAGGTTATTTTTATTATGTCTCATTCCTAGTCTATGGTGTATTTTATACCATACATTTTTACTTTATACAATCACCTTAAAAGAATACCTGTTTATATGCATGCTTCAATCTAAGGTAGATCCCTCTCAGGTAGATTTGTGGACCTAATACCTTCTGTAGAATAACTGATTAAAAAAATATTAAATGAATGCAAAATATTTTTTTCCAAAAAGTTACCTCTGAATATTACTCTGAAATTATGTTCCATTGGATGACTCGTTTCCGGAGGATTATGGCAGTTTGGATGTTATAATGAAATATTTTTAAAAGAGTGATTGATTTACCTAAAATAACTTATTAAGATTTTGATGTTTTTCAAGTTGTTTTAAGTATGTACATTTTTATAAATTCCCATCATCTTTTCAGGATTGTAGTTTGTGAAAATATTCATTGACATCTTCCACTTCTTTGATTTTTATTTTGAGTCTAACTCAGTGTCAGTTCAAAGATGAGGCTCATAGTTAACTGCTATTACATTTCTGGTTCCCATGGGATTCTGATTAGGAGGATTACAACTAGCTGAAATTCAGTTAACTGTAATTTTTAGCAGTCTGAGATCTTTTGGGGGTGTTTCATTTCTTTTTTTAATGTTAAAAGTAGAACTTATTTACAGTTAGATTTGGTGGGCATGCATATTTATTGACAGAGAAAGATGTTCACAAGATACTACCAGATGACAAAAAAGCTGGTGACGGAATAAGAAAGTGGCCATTTAAAAATAAATGTACAGCTGGGCATGGTGGTGCACTCCTGTAATCTTAGCACTCAGGAGGCTGAGACAGGAGGATCATTGCAAGTTTGAGACCAACCTTTGGGTCTACAAAGTAAGCCCAAGGCCAGCCTGATTGCATACGAGACCTTGTCTCAAAAGACACAAATAAACAAATAAACAAATTACACATAAAAATGTATATGGAAAATAAAATCCTAAAAGATAAAAAGTTTATCCTCTAATGGAGAGGAGAGAAAGCACCCAAGCTAAGGAAAACCCCACAAGCGGAGAGACTGGACCTGGCTACTGCTTTGTCTGCAGCCCATGCCCAGTGACTGATATGATGAATGTGCTCAGCAAACACTTGACAAAAATGGTTGTTGTGAAATACAATATCCCGATGACTTTCATTGTTTTCTCTCATTTTGTTTATATTTTGTTTTCTATTTTTCCTATAATAAATCTGTATTGTCTGTTTTAATAAAAATAAAGTGGAAATTGGAGTATTTTCTCCTAATTTAAAGTAGACGCATTTGAGTCTAGGAAAGGATAGACCCCAAGTCTTTGATAGCAAAGAGGCATGCTGGGAGTTTGCTGTTTCTTGTTCTTATTTTTTTTATTTTAAAGAGAATAAAACCACAGCAAAACAGAATCAAAACAAAACAGTGAAAGTGATATAGGACTTCAAAGCAGAATAATAAGAAATCAACCATTGCTACCATAATGCTTTTGCTGTTCTCAAAATTGTCACCCATACCATTAAACATAATAAAATGAAACAAAACAGAACAGAATAAAGCTAACCAAAACAAAACATTGAATAAAACAAAACAATAAAATGGAGCAAAACAAAACAGTGAGAACAACATTGGATTTCAAAAACAAGACAGAAGAAAATTCCTCATAGTTGCTAAATTGCATATTGTTATCCTCTAAATAGATGCTCAGACTACTGGCTTTAGGCCTGCAGAGTCAATCAAACAACATAAGCATTAAGTTGTTTTTGCACTTCAGTTGCTATTAACTTGGTCTGTGTTCCTCTGAGTCAGCCTGTTGTTGGCAGGGGATAGGGCACTCACCTCTTATTTCCCAGCCCACATGCCAGCGAACTCACAGGAAGAGCACTTCCTGTTTCTCCTCCTGGCCCACAATTACCACTGGCTCACAGGAAGTGGGCTCCCTGTTTCTCCTCCAATGTTTTATTTCTGTATGTTTTGTAACACCTAAACCCTTAAAAGATGCCCCAGAATCAGATTAATTAATCTCCTATCATGAAAAGTGCTGTTTAGAACCATGAGCCCAAGACATTGTGAAGCACTCAAAGAATGATCAGTTATGCCTTCTAGACAAGACTTAGCTAGGCAGAAGAAAAAATTCAGGTATTTACTTGATGATTATTATTTTTATGGAACTAGGGGGGTAAACTTAGTGCCTTTGCAGTGAGTTATATGTATGGCCTCTCCTTCTTTTTTTTAAAGCTTTAAATTTTAAAACAGAGGTCTCTCTAAATTGCCTAAATTGAACTTGAGTTTGCATTTCTTATACCTCAGTCTCTCAAGAGCTAGGATTACAGATATGTCACTCTACTTGACTTTATGAATGCTCTTAACCAAAATTGAAGCTAAGTGAATTTCCTTGTTTAATGTTAAATAACTCAAAAAAATTAATTGGCAAGAAGTCTGTTCTTTATGAGCATTTTTCTTTAACTGAAATTTCCATTTGCTTCAGTATTATTTTGTTAGAATTTTAAGAGTGAGGAAATGATTTTCCCTACATTTTCTCCATGTCATGGATTTAAAAGTAACTGGCTTTTATGAAAAAAAAATTATCAAAGGACATATAAATCTCTTAGTCTTCTTCCTGGAGGCACCTACTATTAACTGTTCTTGGTGTAGCCTTCCAGAATATTTATTTATATGTATGGAAGCGTTAAGAAGTGGGTCTTTCCCTTTCTTTTTAAGTAGAAACAAAATATACTGTACAACCCCTTCTATACTTTTTTCCTCCACTTAATAATATAACTTAGATATTGCTTGAGACTATCATAAACAGACAAAACATATTTTTTTCATATGGCTTCAAGGTTTTATAGGTTTTCATTGCATGAATATACTAAAATATATATAATCAGTGTTTTTTGTTGGGCATTTAGATTGTTTCCAGTCTCTTGCCATTGTGAACAGCACTGAAGAGGATAGTCTTCAATATACACATCTCTGTATTTGTAATATTGTAGGACAGTTTCTATGACACAGAATTGCTAAGTAATTGTGTAATCTCAAAAATTTTTAAAAATCTTTGCCATTCTGATAATGAAAAGTAATATTTCAGAAATTGAATATTTCATTATTTCAGTGCTTATATGTACATTCCTTTGATTTGGAATTTAAACATTTTTCATAAGTTTAGAAGATATTTATGTTTGTCTTTCTATGGAATGCATTTTATTTGAATATTTGAAAAAATAATTCAAGAAGAAACAGGTAACCTCTGCCAATCTGAAAGGATCTCATCTCATTTCCTTTCAGAGAGCAACTTAATTCTCCACCTTCCTTCTTAAATCTTGGAAAGAATCTCACCTGGAAAATCTTGGTCATGTTTCCAAACTCCTTTCTATGAAACTTTCAGCTAAGGAAAACCCTCTAGGACCTTTTCCTAAATCAGAGAAGCTTCTTCTACCATTTGTTTCTCTTTCTGTTGCGATTAAAGAGTTATTTATAGAGAATCTTTGAGTAATGATCCTCCATCCCCTCCTAATGTTCATGTCTCCCAGGAATTGAACACTATTGAATAGTTGAGTGATTGCTTTAGCAAATGCATACACCTGTTGATGCTTACATCTTTCATCATCCCCTGCCTCAAATCGTATGATTTAACTTCCTCCAAGTACCTCTGAAAATTTCAGGCTAATGTTTCTGGAAGCACTTACTCAAGCTTCTGTTTATTCTCTGGAAGTGGGAAGAGCAACGCTGTGGGCAAATTGGAGATCTAGGCTCTAGACATGGTTTTCTCTCTGACTGGAATTTTAGTCTAGAAGGGATTCCTGGTCTCCTGCACCTGACTGAGCACCTTAAAACGTATATGGCTCTAATAGAGGGTTCTAATATTCTTTTTCATTGGGTAGATTGCTGGTGCTGCACCCTTAATTTCAGACATACTTGGGATTTGGGAGCAAAGTCTTTTTGTGGGTGATCTCCAGTGTAAAAGGCATTTGTGATGAGTGTCCTAGCATTGTTCTTGTTCTCTCAAGTCATTAGACATAGCTAGTTGTTCCAAAGAACATGAATTCTGTGAAAAGAAGGTATTAATATATGACCTTGGATGCCCCCCAGCTGCTTGGCCTGGGAGGGGCAACCTGCTGCTGTTCCTGGAAGCCACAATCCACCTTTTTCTGAGCCCCTCTTCTTTTATTTCTTTTGCAATACTGTGCTAGTGCTAAGTGACATGGAGAATAAATCCTCCATGGCTATTAAAGAATCTCTTATTCTTTTCTAAATCTCTACTGCTTTCTCCCATCAACTGGTGAAGAATTGAATATGGTGCTCAAGAGATCAGTTTCAAGGTTTTAAAAAAAGGTTTACATTTTTATACTCTTTTTCATCACCACCAAGTCTCACTTTAGAGCTCTTTATTTTGTTTTTTATGACTGTTCTTTTGCTTTCCTGTTCTTGTTCAGTTTACGATGTTTTATTCTGGAATAGAACATCTTATGTGATTAAAAATTGTCTCCAAATACCAGAGCTTACCAAGCAGCAGAATCGAGGTGAAATGGGAACCAATGACGCAGTTTGGGGAGCAGAAAGTGACAACAGTTTTTGGCCTTATTACCCGTGACTAGAACCCTCACCTTTTCCTGAACCACTTCTGAGAATAACTTTCCTATTATGTCCCCAAACTAAGGGAAAGATCATCAAATGGTTTTTTACCTATTTTAAGACTTTTTGTATTCACCTTCAACCCGTTTTTGTCAGGGTGTCCCCAGGGTCAACGAGCCAGCTGGAAGTGCGGGAACTGAATTTTGTCTTCAGCTCTCCCATTTATGATTAGTTGAACTAATCCCACACTCTCTCTGGCTCTAATTTTATCAGGTGATAAACGGAAATAATTGGACCATCTAATGCCCTGGGATGGTCGTAAGGAAAAATAATGGTAATGATTCTGAAGTCACAGTGAAATAACGGAGTATGGAATGAATGCTTATTATTGAGCTCATTCTTGGCTTTATTCTCTGGGAGCATCTGAGGACTAAAATATGTCATAAGGACTCTAAGTGTGTGAGTCTGAACATGCCCTTGCTTTTCTTCCATCCAGGTGCTATTTGAACTTGCTCGCTATCACGCCCCCTCCACCATCTTCCTGGATGAGCTGGAGTCAGTCATGAGCCAGAGAGGAACTGCTCCCGGGTAACAGACGAGTTTTTTTGGTCACCATTTCTCCCCTTTTGTAAGTGTGTTTGATGGTCGGAAGCCCGTAGACATTTACCAGCAGAATGAGCCTATTAATAAGCCCACAAATTTTCTGCAGACACATGGAAAGGTCTTTAAATTAGATCCTGTTAACTGAATAGCTGATTTAAGTAGTTTTTATAACCGGAGGAAATGCCATCCTCCCTCCCCTCCATCCCCGCAGAGTGGTTTTTAGGCCTGCGGATCATCTGGCCCCAGGATCCCAGGTTGTCATAACAGCCCTGCTAGCTCAAAATATCTGCCTGTGATGGCTTCTTCTGGAGCCAGACGGCTGCTCCTGGAACAGGGCTTGCCCACTGAGCCAGGGCACTGGGCTGAGAGATGTCATTCCCCCATAGTGATCCTTGAGAGTATGTGAGGCCAGGAAGCCACAACTTCTCTGATCTCAGGTTATGGCTCAGCATGCCTGATTTTAAATATGTCACAGAGGTTATTTCAAAAGATTAAGTGTCCCCAGCAGGAAGAAACATTTTGCAGACTGTGATGGGCCTTCTGTTTATGCTTTTAAAAGGCCAAGTAGAGTTTGCTTTACTCTTTCTTTCTTGCTTTCTTATTTCTTTTTCTCTCTTTTCTTTTTTTTGCTTGGTTTTAAGATTGGCTTTGTATCACGTTCAGAGATTTTTTTTTCAGAGATATTTTTTAAAGACACACTTACTAAATTTGGCATATGTGACTTGAAAAAAGCAGAACCTGAAAATCTCAACACAGCTGCATTTATTAGTGACCTTTCATGGTCTATTGTTAAAGCAGAACTAACAGTAATAAAAAGTAAGTAATTTGCTTGTTGGAAGTATAGCTAGAACATAATTTATGGAATATTACTCAGTGGAAACCATTTTCCCAGAGGGGAAAACAAGCACGAGAGAATACTTAAGTCAGATGAGGCTTATACAATTCATTAAAAGGTAACATTTTTCAGGAATTAAGAATTTTGAAAAAAAAAAAAGAATTTTGAGCTGTAGTACTTTTTCTCCCTGTACTGAGTTTGTTAAGGGCAAAGAATTGCACACCAGCTGAGAGGCCCTCCGACCATGCTGGGAGTCATTCTCTGCAAAGACAAGATCCTCTGGGCTAACCTCTTCCTAATGATCTGTGCACAGGTTGTCAGGTTTACTTTGTTGAGTTTTCCCTCCTGGGTTTCCCACAGGTTTGATTGAACCAACATGAGAGCCTTGCCATTCGTGAGTGGACTCTCTCCTGGCTTGCCCCGCACTCTGGTTTCCTTGTCTTCAATTTAAGGCTCTAAATATAGTCTTCAAAGGATTAGGGAATAAGTGCAGGTTCTTTGAAGTCTTCATGAGTCATATGATCTTAAATAATCATGCTTATGGGCAAATGCTAAATACACATAGAACTATACTGTGAGGCAGTCTGCTGTCTTAGGAAATGATAAGTGGGTGGTAAGGGCCATAGATCCTGAAAAGCTATGTGGATATTGAGCACCTCCGATCTGAAAATCCCACATCTAAAGTGTTCCAAAATTTGAAACTTTGTGTGTGATGACATGATGCTCTATGTGAAAAATCCCACAGCATAAAAATTTGTCTCAGCACATAAAATTACTTAAAATATTGTATACATTAACTTCAATTTCTGTGTATATAGTCTCTGTGAAACATAAATTAATTTCATGCTTGTACCCTATGTGTACCTTGACACCTTGGATTCCATGTCATTATCTCGCTTCTCATTAGAAGAGAGAAACTGATTCAGTGTATGAAAAATGTGATAAAAAATACAGTGAATGGGTAATTTTTTAAAAAAATATTACGAGAAAAGTCGCATTGCTTTTAATCCTTCTCAAAATACTCTCCATGTTTCTTTCATCATTCGTATCACTTTCGGAAGCAGCTCTGGAAGTTCTCTGTGGTCATGGTGGCCTCAAGTTTCCAAAAAACATTTAATTTTTGACTTTTGGAAAGAGCCAAGAGTCTCACTGTCCCAGACACAATGAATAAGGTGGATGAAGACATATGTTGATATTTTTATTTGACAGAAATTACTGTAAACATTTTGAATTGATTCAGGACATCAAAACAGCCACAGTGACACAATTTAAAGATAGTCACAAAAGGGCATTTCTAGAACTGCTTCAGAAAGTGGCAAAATGAGTGTGTGTGATCTGAGCTGGACTCTTGTGAGGAGGATTAATGTCAGTATGTCTTTTACTGTAGTGACTTTTTAAAATTTAAAAATCCAGTTTGGTGTTACTCAATTAAAGTGTATATTGTGTTGCACCAAAAATCCACTGTATGTGGTGATCATGCCTCATAGTTCATTTCACTTAACAATTTAGAGCTGTAAATGATACTATAAGATATACTATGTGAAAGAATTTCTGTGCATGCTATGTAAATGAAAGTGATTATTCTCAATTATGCCATTTTTAAAAGGGTATATAATGCTGCACACAGGTACAACTAGGTTAGATTTAATGTACCAGTGACAGTTTTTTCCTAGTTCGCTGCCCACCTTAGCTTTTCTTTTAAATAACATCTTTATATTTACTTATTTCCTTCTTTTCTATGTGAAAATTCTGTAATACCATATTGTTTGTTTTCTCTTAGTATCAGTGGCTTCATTAGCTATCAAAACAGAACTCTTCCTACAGCCACTCTTGTGTGAGGGTAAAGGCTCCATCACTTGAAGGAATCACATATCCTGTCTCTGCAGAGGGGAACATGAAGGCAGCCTGCGGATGAAGACAGAGTTACTGGTGCAGATGGACGGGCTGGCACGCTCAGAGGATCTTGTATTTGTCTTAGCCGCATCTAACCTGCCATGGTAAGAGATCAAGAATGTATGTGTTGGGCATATTTTCTTGAGGTAACAATAAAGATGAAGATTTTGTAGTGACAACTTTGGTCAAAGCCTAGTTGTTTGGTTCCAGCTATATGAGATTAATTTGAAGGGTCACTGTTCATGTACCTAGTCTCTGTTCTCTATACCGTGAAAAAAATCTGCCTGGATAGAACACAAGCCAGAGTTACCATTGGCAATATTTAAAGTAAACAAAGTAGACTAAATTAAGTAAGTAAGTTTTCTGTATCATCTGTACTCACAAATTCAACAACTTCAGATCAAAAATAGTGGGAAAAATTGTGTCTGGATCGAACATATGTATACTTTTTTCCTCTTGTCATCATTTCCTAAACAGTAAATTATTTCCTAGCATGTACATTGTATTGTGAGTAATCTAGAAATGATTTAAAGTATACAGAATGATATATACAGATTATGTGTTAATTCTAAGCCATTTCACATAAAGGACTTGAACATCTGCAAATTTTGGTATTTATGGGGAGGGGTGGGAGTTGGAGCCAGCCCTCCCAATCCTCTCAGAGATGCCTATATTAGGTTCAGATTAAGCAGAACTTTGGTTTGTTTTTTTGTTTTGGGTTTTTTTTTTTTTTTTTTTTTTTGGTATTGGGGATCAAACTCATGACTTTGTGCTTGCTAGGCAGGCACTTATGCTGCTGAGCTAAATCCCCAACCCTGAACTTTGGTACAGAATTCTAAAATGCTTAAAAATCTCCAGATGACTTGGAATTTTCCAGAAATAATATGTTTGAATTATATCAGTATTAAAATTAAACTTTTTTAAGTTAAGAGGAAAATCTGTTTCTTAATATGTAGAAATAGAAAGCTAAATAATCTCTAATTGAAAATATAATCTATGCTCAGAGTCTTTTATTCAAACTATATCCCAGAGTGACTTAAAAACAATTCTAGAAGTGGAACTCGGAAATAAGAGATGTTGACGAGGGAAAAACAATATCTACTTGGAGAATATATTTTGAAATAATTATAATCCCTTTATAATTCTAAGAATAATTTTCACAAACATATTTTTTAGAGGCACAAATAAGGCAGGAGATAGAGCAAACAGTGCCATTCTCAAAGGGGAACCAAAACCAAAAATGGCACATCCACCCAAGGTCAGCGCAGTCTTGCAACAGAGCTGAGACTTGTGACTTGCCACTCCCTCCCACTACCCCACCCAATATCTCTTTTGACATTCAAAAATGAACAAAGAAAATTCTTCTGTCATATATGCTGATTATCTGGGTTCCAAACAAGAAGTTGCTGAGAAGAAATTACAATGGCTGTGTGCAATCTGCTGTGTTAAATATATCCACTATTTAAACCTGGTTCTGCTGTCCTATACATTTATAAGATTTTTCTCTCTTGTATTCAAGTGATCAGCATTTTACATTTTGAAGTCAGAGATAACTATACACAATATTAAAGTGAAGTTCAAACAGAAAAATGCTATTTAAGTGTGTTAAATAAAATTAAAATTACTGGAGGCCATTGTTTTCCACAGAGCTCCTGCATGGGACCCCAATAGACCAAACTACAAACCAAAATAGGCATTCATGCTAATTTCACTTCACTAAATCAAAACAAAGTTGCTATCTGAACTTCTAGGGAATCAGGAGAGCTATTGGCCCAAATATCCAAGCAGGCTAGTTTCAACTGGCATGGTAATGAAATCCATCTGCTTTAACCCTTAGAGAGAAAGAACGAAAAAAACCTGATGTTAACCAGTCAGCTATTTTTGTATTGTTCTGTCTCCCTGTCCCTACTTTACAGAAAAAGTAACTTTGAAATGACCAATCCACTCTTCATTCTTTGTTTTCTTCGTCTTTTGTAAAACCACCCAAAGTGACTGCACCATTTTACATTCCCTTAGCAACAGATGAGTATTTCAGCTTCTCCATAACTCCAGAATTCTTGTTTTCTGTCCTTTTTATTATCCTAGTCATCCTAGTGGATGAGAAGTGGTGCTTTGTGGTTATGATTTACAATGTTTCCATGATGATTAATGTTATTGACAAGCATCTTTTCAGATACCTTTTGGTCAACTGCATATCTTCTTTGGAGAAAGATCTTTCTTTCACTTTTGTTGCTCGTATAAAAATTTCTTTTTATTATTGAGCTAGAGTTTTAAAATACATTCTGGATATAAATCTTCTGTCATATATGATTGTAAATACTTTCGATCTAAACAACATACAGAGAGAGTCCCTGAAAATTAGTTTATTTAGTAGAGCACTGCAACGGGAACATACATACCATAGTAACTGTAGTGTCCTGAAGGAGCTTGAGGCGAGAAGTTTTTAAAAGCAAAACTATGAGGAAGATCACATAGCTGGATACAAGAACTTTTTCACACAAACAACAATATTGAGTGTTCAGGATCATTGATAAGGGTGGTACCAACAAGGCTGAAAAGCTAATTGCTGAACAGATGTTCTTGCCTTCTTTTTTTTTTTTTTTTTTTTTTGGTACCGGAGATCGAACTCACAATTGCACGCTTGCAAGGCAGGTGCTTATGCCACTCACTGAGCTAAATCCCCAGCCCCTGTTCTTGCCTTCTTTAAATAAGGTTGTGATGGCCTTTGTGCAGTGTTCTGTTTCTGGTAGAGGCTCTGGCGAGCAATTGTGTTTTTGTCAGGAACCCAAGAGTAAGACCATCTCCTTTTTTTTTTTTTTTTTGTATCAGGGATCATACTCACAACCTAGTGCTTGCCAGGACAGGCCCCATTATAGAGTTATCTATCCCAAAGATGAGGGGTGCTGTTAAGAACTGGGACTTTCACAATTAATGTAAAGACACACATAGTATTATCCCTGACCTCTACCCTCTAGATGCCAGTAGCATCATCCCCTTTGTGGGACAATCAAGATGTCTTTCCAGGCCATTGCAAGATGCCCCATATGTACAAAATTGCTCCCCAATCATAATCATTGGATTGATAAAATAGACATTACAGAGACAAGCTGTCACATATTTCGCAGCTAAATTTTCAAGCTTTTTTAAAGAATCATATAAAATTACTGAATTTGGTTTTATATGTAAAGGTATCATTATATAAATTATTCTGTCTCAATTTTTTTCTCTAACAAACTATCCAAATATTCTGAAGATCTTTTTAAGTAAGTATATAAGTTCTTCCTTATACCCTGTAAAGTACTTCTTTATACCCTTATAAGTTATTTCATTTTGTGTGTATAATTTATCTCATTAGTCACTTACTGATGGGAGCTGGTATTTTTCTCTTTTGCTATTAAACATAATTCTCCAATAAGCAATGCATAGATCATTTTGAGTATTTGCCTTTGTATCTATGAGCTAGGTTCCTGGAAGTAGAGTTGCTTAATCAGAGGGTTAATGTCCGTGAAATTATGGTAGAGACTGCCAAATTTCCTTCCACAAAGGTTGTGCCATTGCACATTCTCACTCGTGTTCCACTTGTGTTATTTGATATTCCAGTGTCATTAAATACCCTTCAAAGCTGGATTTTATAATAGCTGCCCAAAATTCCCACAGGTGCATACACCATAATTTAGTTAGTTGTCACTCTTTTCTGCAAGTGGAATGATGAACTTCTTTCTTGGTCTATAGCATTACAGAGAAGACAAAAAAGAAGCAAAAATAATAGCTCATGTGTGTCATCTGATGTGTAAATAAGCAATAGAGCCATAACAAATGTCACATCTTTAGTATTACCACTTAAATTAATGTAAGAAATTTAGCAAGCACAGTAGGGTTAATTTCACTCACCTTGATTGTTGACTGTTCACAAACTCAGACCAAGGAGTCCAGAGGGAACAGAGCACTGAACAGGGTCATTGAGGCAAATGCCATCTCTAGAGGTCTGTTTGGCTCTACAAATAAGTGTGAAAACTGGGCACACAGCATGCTGAAACTCATGTTTTGCTTGCTGCTTACAAAAGAGCTAGAAATCCAGGAACCCTCTTAGAAATCACATGCTTGATATGACCAAACTTGATTAAAAAGCAAAAAGCCAACTTTATTTTTTTTAACATTTAGAGAAAAACATAGGAGGCAATGGATTATTATACTGGGAATAGAATCATCTTTATATTGGGGTGGGTATCAGCAGCGAGTCTCCAGTACTTTCTTATTAACTTTTTTCACTCTTTTCCCTCTGAAACAGATGCTGATCTGGCTATTTTTCCATTGCTCATGTAAACTGAGTTCTTCTCAAATGGCCTCTCTCCTGTCTGGTGTGATATTTCCATAGAAATCTGTATTTCTGATCAAAGAAATCAGTAGACGTAACCCTGGTTTTTCCACACTAACCCACAGGCTCTCTTGATCTTCTGGGAAAAGCTGTCCTCTCTGAGTTCTTTCCTTTTAGCATTGTACTTTGACTAAATCAGCATTCCCTGAACCTGGCCTTCTACAGGTCAGTCAATGTTGTGCAAAATGGAGGATCTAGTAATCTGGTATGTTTCACTAGATTTGATGATTTAGTGATCTGGCATGTTTTAGCAAGGTAGACATTCAACTGGTCTTCCCATGGCAGGGATTCTCGATGTCCTTAGCAGGCTCTGTGCGTTAAATGATAAATGAGAAATGATAGAGCAGTACTTCCATGCTTATGTGACCTGGTCTCCTTTCCTTCAGGACCAACTCACAAAGCCGGGGTTCCTTGACAACCCTTTGGGAGACATGAGTTTATGTTAAGCCATTCCGACAAGATGAATGCATTTTCCAGTCCTGTTACTGGGGAGGGCAGGCTACTTGGGATGTTTTTAAGCTGTGCAGATCAGCATTTTCAAGTGCAGGTTTTTCCCTAATAGGATAGATGAGATATACAAAAACAAACAAAAAAATTCACAGCACTCACTGCCATGTCATTCCTTAAGTTCTCATATTTTTAATTTTTGTTTCAAATTTTACTTTAAAGAGGGTCAAACAGAATAAAACCAATCAAAACAAACCAGTATAAGAGATACAGGACTTCAAA